TTTACGGCATCTGCAATTTCCTCAGGAACTTGCCATACAGACTGTTTTGTCTCAGAATTGAAATAAAACTCGTTACCCTCTGTTGTAAAGACAATGGACCACTTCGTATCTGGAATTGGTTTTCTGAATAACGATGTTATATTATGAAAAAAATTCGACAGAGAATAAGTGATTTAAGAGATACTAACTTTAATTTTGCTTTATCCTTTTTAGTTTTCTCTTTAGGAGGTTCCTTTTGTTGTTGAAGTGGAAAACTTTGCTGTTGAATTGGTAATGACATAACTGTAGGCATCGGCTGAAATGAATGCGAAACTATACCGCCACTCATATGAGGAGGACCAAGAGGAGGAGGCGGAGGAACCGTAGCTGGCCTTTCCCAAGTACTATGGCCTGTCGCAGCGTTGTAGTAATAAAATTGTCCATTAGGAGCACGATGTTCAGTCCAGCCGGAAGGTAAAAGCGGCCGAAAAGGAGGTGCCATATGTAGTTGCGGTATTGGATGCGCATTGATTGCTGGTCGCTGCTGAGCAAAGCTTTGAAGATTAGGATGAGGCTGCTCCTGTTCGCGAGGAGGCGTGCGATCCACTTTGAATAGATCAGATTCACGATCCATTTTAAAGTGTTCAAACTAAGTTAATCAACTATGAAAATTATCGATTTACACGTATTGATCAGGCAGTTAATGATTGGACCGTCCAAACATATTTCTTGAATGTGTAATCAGCCACAGTGCTTATACTTCGCCAACCTTCTATATATAACGATGTAAATAGAATATTACTACGGTAATTTCAAATATGTATGGTAAATAAAGTTTATAAAATTTAGCTTTTAAAAGTGAATTTTTTTTTAATAATTAAGCTAGGAAGAACCTTTCGTGTTAAGATATGGCTTAGCGTCGGTACATTTTGACTGTCTTGACTTTTTTTTGCTTTTTCCCGCCCTGTCCTGTCCCGTCCCAAACATTCTAATTTTTAACAAAAATTATATCAAAAATACATGTAAAATTTAAATTTAAACGTTTAAGAATTGAAAGCAAGTTATCTTAAAATTTGAAAATATTGACAATTTTTTAAAGCTCAATTTCATCCCAACTCTAACTGCTCTGCGTACAACACGGGTCGGTTATATAAAAAGCTTGGAATTATTACTCGCGTATTTAATAACTTTGAGTTACCGTAAAAAAATCGCGTATACAAGACCTGGGCCTTTTACATTCCACCAATTTTAAAACCTATAATAGACCCCGGGTCTAGTATACAGCCGAGAGTTCATGTCACTAAGAGGAAAACTTTGAAGAGTATGCACGTTTTGCATTTATAATAGAAAAACCCAGGTTTGATTAATATACAAAACTATGTTAGGTAACTATGGCATTTTTCATCAGATATCACAGATTTTTACGTTATACGTACAAACAGCAATTAAATTTTATTCAAATTCGGATTGTATATTTAATACTACAATAAGAACATAATATGTTACGATTATCTTACAAAGTGATTCAGCTTATTATCAAAAAATCGAATTACCTTGAAACTTCACGAATTATTTATAAAATGCTAAAGAATAAAGCTATATTTTCAAATTTTTTATCAATATATAAATTTTTATATTTGTCTTATAGAATAAGTTGAATTTTGTTAATTAAAATAAAAAAAAAAACTCTTGAAACTATAAGTTAAAAACTTATTTAGAGCTATCACAAAAAATTAAATATAGAACCTTCGAAATGGTTCTTAAGTACATTTCTCATTCATAAGAAACTCAAAAAATATGATACTTGTGTGAATCTTTTAGAATATTGCTATTTTTTTATATAAAAAAAATATTCAATTTATTACGTTAATGCTAATAAAAATTTGGTTATAGTAAATTTATCAATGTATCTAACATAGTTTTGATTTACATAGGTGTGCAACGACCTATAGGCACTAATTGCGGATTTTTTTATTAAAAACAAAATTTAGATTTAATACCGTATACTTCCGAAATTTAAGGGTAAAAAATATCTTTTTATTTTATTATAATCACGTTGGTAATTATGATCATCATTATTGTACTACCGAAGTACTACCGAAGTACTACCGAGCTATTAAACACACTAATTACGTTTAAAATATTTCCATTCTTGTGCTTTAATTATTTCTTTGGCCCCGTTTGCAATCCCTTCAATGTACTCTGTTTCATGTGGTCTTTATAATACAATGTCTTGTAAAACTAGCCCTTTTTTAACCAAGTCTTGAAGTGCAAATTCTGCAAGTTCAATAGTGCTTAATAGTTCTGGCTTTTTTGATTTTTTAATTCTTCCAACTGTTGATAGCCAAATTTTTTTATTCTAGCAGCATTAGATCGTCTAAAAACACCAATGACATTGGCAGGTGTGTAGGGTTCAGGGCACAGAGGCATGGGGCATGCCATATTGCTAAAAGGCATGTTCATACTTAACCCAACCTAACTTTAACCAACTCTAACCCTAACCTATAGAAATCTTAAAAAAATATATTATAAATATAAAATAAGCAATAGTTTAACACTAAATTACTGTAAAATCCAACATGTGTATTTGGGTATTACTCAATTTGTATCTGAGAGTACCTCTATATAAAGGTATGCTGCATTGAAAAATATGGTTTACTATATCTATCTGGAATAATATATACTATATAGTATATATAATATCTATATACCCAGGTATAAATTACCAAATGTTCTTTAAAACTGCTAGAGTGTACACACGATAAGGGTATATGTGTCCAGATTTCATAGTAGTTTAGAATCATTAGAAGTTTGCAAAACAGGAGTCTTTATATATATTACAATGAAATATTCTAATTTTAAATACTTATTTGTTATATTAATAGCAAAAAAAAATAATCCTGATTTACGTTACATGATCGGCTAGTGACAATTTTGTGGTCATGTGATCTAGGATGGGCATGCCCATGGGCATAAGAGGCATGCCTCAACCTAATAACATGCCCATATGGGTATGCCAAATTTTTTACCCGTGCTCTAAACCCTACAGGTGTGATTTGGTGATCATAGGTCGTGGTTAAGACTTCTACAGTGCTTGATAAAAGTTTTCCTGCACTTATATCTCTTCATAGAGAGGTGCTATGACCTTGAAAATTGCAGAAAAGTTATTACAAAAAAAGTTTAGATCATGTGTGTTTTTTGAAAATTTTTTGGTAACGAGTTTTATTTCAATTCTGAGACAAAACAGTCTGTATGGCAAGTTCCTGAGGAAATTGCAGATGCCGTAAA